TTACTTTTCCTGGATACAACACTCCAAGGCATGATCCAACGCTTCGAAGACGAATACCCAGAGACACGTCTCCAGCCATCCGACGCCGCTTCTACTACGAGCTCCAAACTCAGCAGCTCACCACCCACCTCCTTCGTACCGACACTCGAAAACAGTGTCTCGACAGACTTCACAGCCGATCAATCCGACGAAGACGAACCCTCCACCCTACGCTCGCGCCACAATTCCGACGTCTCCCTCGCATCCCGCCACATGTCCCTCGAAGAAGGACGACTCCACCGCTTCGGCCACCGTGTCCGCACCGGTCTCTTCAACCCATCCCGCCCCACCACCCCCGACGTCTCCGAAAACCACGTGTCCTTCATCTCCGGTACGGCAGATGACCAAGGTCTTCCCGAACACCTTCGCACCCTACGCGCATACTTCCAGAACTACAGCGGCGACGAGATGAGGCATATGATTGAGGGCAAAGGCTGGGAACAGGCTTTCAACAGCGTCGTGGAGAATGCTGAAGAGCTGAGGAATCTGGAGAAGGAGGACCCAGAGCAGTTCAAATTGTTCAAGGAAAGTCAGATTGCGGCACTCAAGAATCGCAATCCGGATATTTTTGCGCCGGGGGAGAAGGGCAGGGAGAGTGTGGAGGCGGATGGTGGGGATGACTTTGCTATTGAGGATTGAGTTTTAGGGACGGGGCGTTGAGGTAGGGGTGGGAAGGCTGGGAGTATCGGGCGTGGAATCAGTGTAATATCCAAACTGCCGACTTGAGCTGTGTATAGTGGATGAGGAGCTGCAGCGCGCTCGCCAGCAGCTCAAGTGTTCATTCTTTGTGTATTTGTAACATAGAGCCGTGATGGCTAGCACACCGCCTTGTGTGGTGTTTTCATTCGAATTTTCATTATATATTACTGTCACTTTGATATTGGTTCAGACTGCTACGACCCGTCTTTCCTGCTTCCAGCCTGTCGCCCGTTCCGCATCGATGGATGGATGCGTCTTCCCATGCTCCACATGAGGGTCTCGTGACCGCGATTGTGGGTATAAGAGCGGACTTCTGTCTCCAACGTACTTTCTCTCTTCATCACACACTTCCTACGATATTACCAAAAGGATCGCGCCCCCGTTCCATGGCTCTGTCGGCTGTCCTGCTCTCTCAGAATTTCTTTCAAAAGCACTGGAGATTATACCATGGTTTCTTCCTTGCCTTCTTCTGCTTTCTACCACAACCAAACTGAATTCCAGACTTCGACGTGATTACTAAAAAAGCCCTCCTGAATCCTCATGTTCTTTGCTCCTTCTGAAAGAAGTTTATCATTCCTTCATGGGAAAGACTTCGGCTTTGCGGGTTTTCCAAGAGACGGAGATGTCAAAAATGAATCTACGAGAATGCTATGAGAGGTTCTCGGGTCTGAGAAAACCATGCATGACCCCTGCATGTGCGGCTACTCTTCTTGATTAAAGTCGCCATGGAGCAGTATGATGAGAAGAGCCTCGGGCCCGATCTAGCTACCAGCGAGCTAGCTCGACGGGTATAAAAGCTGTCGTACGGCTGTTCTCTTCTTTCTTCCTTCATCATTCTCCAGTCTATTGTGGGCACCAAAAACAAAAACACTCTGGTCGATGTCTGAGACGAGTCTGCGTTCTTCCAACATTTTCCAAAAATCCTATTATGCGGACTCATGGACTCGGCTCTTGCGTGCGGGTACAAACTACAGGCGTGCTCTTCTTATCTTGAACTCTAAAATTGAAAAACAAAAGGGTTACGCTATATGATCGACCTTCGGCCGCTGTTCCCAAAAACCAGTTTTGTCAGAGACATGTCATGTCGTGCTGGGTGGTGCTTTGCGACATCAAACCAGGTTCTGAAATCTACATGGTCTGCACAAAAGCTTGTCAAGCAGTGTCTTATGCCGTCCGTAAAGTCTGCAGCATTCCTTCATGGCGTGCTCGTCTTTCCCTGGTTTTCTCGTCGGGTATATAAAGCATCTGTCCGGGATATCTTCCTATTCTCCAACACACTACTCCGACAGGGGGGCTTTACCAAAAGAACCCGAACATCCCTTTATGTCTGCGCGAGAATTTTTCCCCCCGACATAAGTCTCAAAACCGACCACCGGTATAAGGATGACCTGTCCGTGCTGTTCGAGTCGACAAAATGCGACTGCCATTATGTATATGGTTAGAGAGGCCGAAAGAGCCGAATTGGACGCTATGGAGAGATAACGCCGCAGGTGGTTAAAAGGCCTGTCTTCACCGGGCATGGAGTGGGGAGTGCTTCGCTTGTTCAACTTGTCCGTACACCTAAAACGCCACTTCGGAATACTGATGGCGACCGCTTGTCAACGCTTCTGTTGCGCACTTGCTTTCGAAACTCTCATAGAAGATATCCATGTTCTGGAAGCAGCCTCCAAAATTCACACCTTAGTATCGATGTGGTCGAGCGTGTTTTCTGCACTCTAAAAAAGTTCACCGGATATATTCATGTTGCTACGTCTCAGACTCTGGCTGCTTGCTATGTTGATGTTAGCGCGAGCTGCTTATAAAAGAGTCTTGCTGCCGCAAGAGCACTAATCTCTTCCTTCATACCATCTCCAGCCAAAAGCCGAGACATTACCAAAAATACATTTGCAGATACACTATGTTGTTCGGCGCTCCGGTTCTCTTCCCTGGCCAGCGTCCAAAATCAAGGACACAAGCGTGCATGTTTCGCCTTTGCCAGTCGGCACATTCTTCAATATGTAAGAAGAGAAAAGCTCGATACCGAATTCTTCATGTTGTGGCGCGCGCGGTTGGTCTTAAAGCCTTGGTTTCGATGTTTATGACTTGTAGATGAACCACGCAATAGTCATGGAGGGCTTCCTGATTATCCTGCAAAATCACATCATTTGAAAAGAGTGTGAGAAGCCGCTGGCTCCAAAAACACCGCCGATTTCTTCCCACGTCACGGCTTCGAAATCAGCAACAACCCCGACATGAACTCTTTTGAAGCACTGCGCAGGTGGTGTATGGACCTGAGTCGATGGTTCCCAGCTCTATTCCATGAATCTGGTCGGTAATTCTACTTGAAGCATAGTCTGGCAAAGCCAGTGGGACTCACTATATAAGCCCTATTCTTTGCGCAGTCCTCGCTCCAACTTCAAAATCATGTTTTTTCTTTCAAGATACTAAAAAGAGTTCCTGAACGCACTATGGAGCTTGCTCCGTGCTGGCACCGTTGATGTACTAAAGTGGTGTTTTCTCCGCGCCGAAATATCTCAGGAAACGCATCATGTCTGCGGAGATAGTCTGGAGTGCCTGCAAAATCGCGACTCTGGGTTCAATATGTTAGATTGGGAAAGAGACCCTGCTAAGTTTGTTATCATAGGGTGGATAGAGTGCGCCTTTCACGCTGGTCGGGACACATATTTAGTCCGAGCTGGTTGTTAAAATGTAATCTTGATATGCCGTCTGATTGCGATAGCTTTGATAGGATTTTGTCGTGGCTAGATGAAGTGGGGATGACGAAGCGCCGATGGGGTGTTGACAAATTCGCTGGACCGACTTGGTTGAACGTAGATCAGAGCCACTGAGGAGATTAACAGACAGATAAGAAAGTCAAACAGATAGTTCGTGAACGGGTCTACGACTAGGTATAGTAGCACCAAGTACAGTCGTATTTCGCATTTCGCAAGACTCTTAGCATGGGGTAGTAGTTTGGTGGTGCTCAGGGTCTGACAAAAACACGAAATACGAAACACGAAGAACGTGACTGGCGATGGTAGTGAACGCGACTACACCTATCTTCACTGTCTTCGGCGATTTATGCCGCGCCCATATAACGGAGTACGTCGTTCTGGCGTCCTGGTAGACGGCCACTAACGGGTTCTCAAATGTTTAGCGACGGAACGGAGTCTGGGTCCTTCAACGACTTCCGGTCGATTACGCCACCGATTGTTTTCCCTTCGTCCCAGGACGAATCAGCCACAGGCGGACTGTTCTCCAGGATCTATCCGCATGTTCCAACGCGACACTACATTAGTAGGTGCCTTTGGCGAGTCTCTACCACGTGAAACTTCAGGCACATACTGATTCGGACAGGGTTGACGTGCATCCTGAAAGAGGACCCCGGATAGTGTCAGGCCGAGATGTGAGCCACCGTAGCGCGCCTCGGGGGTCCGATGGTGTACCTGATAATTGCTTTTTTGGCAGATTTTGAGCCTCAAACAACTTTCAGGGGTCAGTAACTAGCAAACTGCATGATGATGTCGATGGGGTACTGGGGACAATAGCATGTTGCCGGGCTTCCCTATTGATGCCGAGTGACATTTGAATGGCGAGCGTTCAGGGTAGGAGCAGTTGAACCGAGGCAGCAGCAGCAGCAGCAGCAGCAGCAGCAGCAGCAGCAGCAGCAACAACAATACTACCATTATCAAGGGATTTCTGACACCCCCCATCATCCAACTTCTCTGTTGTTGCCATTGCGCACCTTTAGGATAGGTTGGAGGGTAGGAATGTAGACATTCACTCGCCGGTGACGCTAGGCATTTGCCGACTGCCCAAGCCAAAAGTCTCTATCCACATTAACTTGACATCATCTGTTGCCCTGTTGAAAACGTTAAGAGACAACCCCGACAACGTCCCATCTCTAGACTAATACCAGAGTCGCGCTGTAGGAACCCTCGATGCACTCATCAAAAGTTTAAAGTTGTCCAGAGTACGCTCTAGACGTTCTCCAGCACGTGGCAGCGGATGAAGTTCCGATCGACGCTATGTTGGCGAGATGCCGATTCCCGTCCACAGGCACCATCATGATGGTGCATGTTTAAACTTCCCGCCCACAAATACCATCAAGATCGTGTATGGCTAAACTTTGTCGGTGCCATGAACCCGGGAGCATCTCCGCAGATGGTGTTTGAGATCCTTTACCTATACCTCGCGAGCCAGCATCTGTATTTCGAGCAGCACCCAGTCCAGTCTCGTGCTCGCATACAACACTCATTCGCTGAGCGCCTCCAGTCCACGCGATGTTGAACGATCCTTACCGACCCGGTGTCGTGAGCGAGCCTTGGGGACCACTCATCTCACCCGATTACACAGAAGACGAGTTCACCAATCTCGATGTCCTTGTCGCTTCCATTCCATGGGCCCTCACGTTGGCAAACGTTATACTCGCTTTGTGGCAGATCTACCATCAAACCAAACTGGCGAAAACTCCGATTCGAAGTCCTTATTTATGGATGGCCTGGTTGGAGCTGGGGGCTTGTTTTGCGTTGGGTCTTGTTGGCTACCTGCATGTGCTGAAACACATTCCAGCGAGTGAGTATCATTCATGCCCCCGAAGACACTGTGTTGATAGTTTGCAGGCTTTGCTTTCTACTTTGGAATTTGTAAGTTGCATTTACCGAATTGATCCTTCCGTTACTGTACTAATGCTGCATAGTGGCCTGCTGGAGCTTCCAGGTCATGCTTCTTTTCCAGATTATCGTCAATCGCATCAGAGTTATTGATGTTAACCGCAAGCACGGCGAAAACATTTTTATCGCAGTAACTGTCTATATCACAGTAGTGATCATCAGCGGCTTCATTATTTGGATCCCAGCCCGGATGCAAATTAGCCACTATTGGGAGTTCATCTCAGCGGCTTGGGATCGCACTGAGAAGTGTCTGTTCCTCATTATCGATTTGGCGCTCAACTGGTACTTCTTGAGAATGGTGAAGAACAATTTGATCCGCAACGGTCTCACAAAGTGTAAGCCAATCCATGCGCATGCTACATTACAAGGTCATCGCTGACATTAACGCTTACATTTAGACAACAAAATCGTTCAATTCAACCAGCGCATCATCGTTCTGTCGATCCTAATGGATGTCATGCTTATCGCCGCTACCGCTATTCCCAAAGCCTTCGTGTGAGTCATTCTTCACCTGTTTGTCTAGCTCCATTTTAACGATTCGCCATCTCAGCTACGTCCAATTCCACTCGCTGTGCTACCTCGTTAAGCTCAACATCGAAATGGCCATGGCCAACCTGATCAGACGCATTGCCATCTCAAACTTCAACCGAACCGGTGCAGTACACGAGTTCAAGGATCCGTCTACGTATGCATCGGAATCTTATCACAACACCTTCGTCTCCAATCGCGGCAGTGTCCAGCTCGGCAGCGTCGGCAACATCAAGGCAACGACACACTACACCGTGACATCCGAGGCCAACCCATTCCCAAACAGGGGGCGTCAACCTTCGCGTGTCGAGGTGGATATCTCCAAGGGGAACACGGACAGCTATAATGGGACGAACCGACCGGTGATTGTCATTGAGGAGCCGGAGACGAAGAGCTTGGACGGCACGACAGAGGTCGCAGAGAGTTATCACACTGACGATGAGACTGTGCTCGTAGAGAAGCGGGGCCATTGGTGATGTAGACTCGATCGATTTCTCCGCAATATTTGCTTCGATGATGATTGCAACACAGCTCAAGCCTTCGCATCGCGGCACATGATTACGGAAATCCCTCCAACCGACTAGTACTCGATGACACCGGTGCCCGCGCCAGTTCTCGGAACTTTGAGCCTACTTTAGGGTTGCAGCACGGAGTACTTGTGCAGATTTTCAACGAACCCATTGGGTTGTGCCACGACAAGGATGCTGGGACATGGTGTGCAGCCGATACAGGAGGAACGGTTTGGTCATTTACTGAGGATGGCAGTAGTAAGACCATCGTGTTCCATAGTCTGGCTAGAATGCCGTTGTCTCTAATAGTAATGATAACGAGCGGTGGGGACTTCCTTCCGTTTTCACCTCACTCGACCTCAACACAGCAAGCAACGTTCATAACTTCGTATGCACATTTCTCACTCTATTAATCATCGAGAAGTTCCACTTATGCTCCAGACACCTGTGGCATTCGTCAGAGTTCAGAGCCATGCGCATGTAGTAGCCTGGTACATCAGCTTCGCTCACCGTGCCACATACCACCTAACCTATCTGATACTAGCGCAAGGCTGCAACGGTAGGAACGCCCGTGATGATAGCGTCTTAATATGCTGAACAGACTGCTCTTATTTAATACTTCAACTCCACCTATTTCGCCTTCCCAGAAACCATATACGTCTACCAACACTCACTCATACGTACACATTTGCCCAAGCCACTCCTCACCTCTATCTTTCCCGCCGCTATGGAACAAATCACAAAGTTCGTCGACCACCTGTACCAGTACCCAAGAGTCGACCAGCTCCACGCGTACCCTGAAGATTGGGATGACAAGTCGCAAGAGGACAAAAACCAGTTTATGGAACAGTTTCTGGAGCATTGGGGCTACACGATTTACAGAACATACTATGGCCCTGGATCTGATGAGCAGTGGAAAAAGCTGCTCAAAACCATCACCGACGGTGTGGGAAAAGGCCTCGCCGAACTGGAGGAGGCGGACAAGAAGCCTGACGCTGTCACGAAAGCGAGGGATTGGTTTCGACTTGATGCACGTTCCCTTCCCATCACCTTGAACGGATTGACACTGGAAGATCTCCGGCAAGTGTATCGGGAAGGAAGTGGGGGCCAGCCGATGAGGGGGTTACAGCCTATGAACTGGGGCACCGCTATATTCATGGTGGCGGATGCCCAAGTGCTACAAGATCCTGATCTCAGTCTACTGAAAGTTGCGGACGCGAAGTATGACCCTGTTGCTGCTGTGCCAAAGAATTCCCGGGTTGGTCCGCAGCGATACTTTGGATGGTTCACTATCCCACCGACAGAGGTTTTGGACTTTTACAATGAGATGGATATATTCACATTTGAGCAAACCTTCAACCATGCATTGCCAGGAACACACTGGGATGTGGGTTGCAAATGAATGGAAGTAATAGACTACATCTGTGTGTCGGAGGTGGGTAGAACAGAGAAAATGAAGTTATGGTCACTGCGAGAGGGCAGTTGCAACGCTCACCAAGCGCAGGCATCCCTAGGGCAAAACTGTATTTGAGTGAAGTGTATCAATGCAAGTCTACCAACCAACCCCACCACGACTACCACCTTTACCGATTTCCATGCCTTGGTAGTCTCAATCAACGTCCATGTTACGACCTACTTCCATCTCTTCGCTCATAGCGATTTAAACAAGTAGGACATCCCGATAAAACCTATACCCAGTCCGAGCATGGCAACACTAAATGTTACACGATACTCTCTCTCGAAGTCCCTCTGTTTTCTCTGCTCTCTCTTCTGCCGTCCCTTCTCCCGCCGTTCCCGCCGCTGTGCACGCTCGCGGACGCTTTCAACATCACGCACCAGACTCCGTACAACCCGTTTCGCCTCGCGCTCAGATACCTCATGTTTTGCAGCAAGTTGCTTGATGAGGAGTTTCTTTATCAAATCCGCCCTTTCGCGGCGGGCAGCTTCGAGGCTTTGGGTACGAGCATTGTAGTTTTTCTCGCTGTCGGCGCCAGAGTAGTCTGTTGGCGGAGTGGCTGCGCGTGTGAGATAGTATTTTTCTATCGCTTTGACTAATTTGTCGTCTGGCAGGAATGGTCCTCCGGTAAGAGGTGCTTTGAGGTAGACACGTTCGTGTGCTGTAAAGGGGCAGGTGGCGCAGTGGAGTGCTGGATTGTGGACGATGCGTTTTGCAACGGGTTTCGAGACGGGCGTTGCAGAAGAGGACGCCAGTCGTAGTTGTCGCGGAAGTAGGCTTAGAACAGGCATTGTAGAAGATGCCAGTAGTTGTCGCGAAAGTGGGCGTGAGGCGTTCAAGATGCGTGTGCGCATCATGGGTAGAAGAAACGACATTATGGTGAGACTGGGTAGTTTTGATAGTTAAGACGACCTCGGGAGATGATTATGGGTATGTGAGCTGTTTGAATTATTTTTTTCTGTATGCCATGTAGGCAGCAAGATAATATTTATCCGGTCGTGACAGTCATCTGGTTCTCTGCGGTTTTCCGTTACAGTACCACGGTTCCAGGGAAGACACTCCCACCGACCGTGATACATCGGGAGGGACCGGCTTGGAGACCACCCATGCATTCCTCCATACAGGCTATGACAATAGTAATCGCGCACGGAAAGAGGTGCTCGCAGAGAATGATTGCATATACCACCTACATGCGCGGGCTGGGGCGCCGGGTTGGCGGACGCGCTCGTAGATGATGCGCTCAGAGACAAGCTTGATAATCAGTTAGATGTTCAAAAATCCTAGTGCAAGACGCATCAAAAGAACAAAAACATATCGTAGCCAACGGGAGGCAGGCAAAGTCGCCAAACCAACCACTTCTCCATTGATCACAACCACCACCACTATCTTCTAACATCTACATGCTTTCTAAGGATATCATAGCTCTCGCAATATACGCTCACCAACAAACCAACGCAAGCGAATGACGTGAAAAAATGCTGTAGAAAGATGCATGCTTATGTGACTGACGTCTACTCAAACGACCATCATATACACAACCAAAAAGGAAACCACCGGGACCCGCCCAAGCAGCAATGACGATGCGTGAGTGGATGACCAGTGGGAAGAGAATAGACAACGTTCCCCTATCCGTCATATACACATCCACCTCTTTTGCAGGCAGGCAAGGGGATGACAAAGCCTACAAGAAAGGTAGCACGACACCCTTCCTCATCGGACTGCCCCTACCATCCACCGTGCTCCCCTCAGCACTGTATCCAGAATCGCGATCAACGTCGTCGTTATCAAAGTCGATATCGAAATCCGGTTCTTTTTCCTCCTCAGCTTCCTCGCCGTCCTCATCACCGTCCCACGCTTTCTGTGTCGCGCCGCGCGAGTTCCAGCGTAGCGTGCGGCTGATGCTATCGAACCACTCGGTGGGCTGGGAGAGGACGGTGGGGAAAGGGTACTGGGAAGCAGCGATGGTGACGTGGTCGCCCTGGCGGAGCTCGACGCGGCCCTTGCCGTCGAAGGCGCAGTAGGCGGTTGCGCGCGACTTGAGGGGCACCGCGATGCGGAGGAGCATGCTGTCGTTGAGGAGCATAGGGCGGAAGGAAAGGGTGTGCGGGCAGATGGGGGTGAGGAGGATGGCGGGGATGTCTGGGTGCACAAGCGAGCCGCCTGCGGAGAGGGAGTAGGCGGTTGAGCCCGTGGGCGTGGAGAAGATGACGCCGTCGGCTTGGACTACGGTCAACAGGTTGTTGTCGCCGTAGAGCTCGAGGTTCGAGACGTAGGGCGATGGGCCGCGGTCGATGACGAGCTCGTTGAGGACCTCGAATTGCTCGGCTTCAATGTGCGAGGGTGAGCCTTGGGCCGCGGCGTTCTTCTGGTACCGGTATACCGTGCATGTGAAGCGCATGCGCAGGTTCACGCGCATACCCGTTTCGCACATGATCTTGTCGAGCGCGGGCCTGTACTGTGCGAACTCGAAGTTGGTGAGGAATCCGAGGCTGCCGAGTGAGAAGGAGAGGATCGGTGGCACGATGCGCTGGAAGAGCCATGAAGTGAAGAGGACGGTGCCGTCTCCACCGAGAGTAAGGACAAGGTCGAAGATCTCAGGGGTTTCCCAGCATAGATCCGGTGTCCACCAGCGGAGCATGTTCTCATAGCGTTTGTCCTTGGCCAACAGCGAGGCTGCGTCGAAGCGCTTCGACTTGCGCAGCTTGTGGTCTACGTAGACATTCACTCCCACGTCTGAGCCGTAGCGCGAGGTCGTCATGAGCCACTCTGCCAACTCGCGCGTGAGGTATACAAGGTTGTTGTCGCGCGCCTTGGTGACAATCATGACATTGCGCACCGTCATCTTGATGGGTCGGCGCTGCAACTGCTTCGAGACCTCACGGACGCTGTTCGCGGTCTGCACGAGCCTCGAATGCGATATCGTGTCGTCCTCGGCATCGCTCATCTCTTCCATGACCTTTCCAAGGTTCACGGCCTTGTCAAACTTCTTGTGGAAGAAGCATGGTGATGCGAGCGCAGCCATCTTGCTGGCGGAAAGGTCGGCCGAGTGCAGTTCCAGCTCGTTGAGCGCCTTTGCGAGTTGCGAGTGCGTGATGCTCTTTGAGCGCGCACTCTTCCCTGCGCTCTCCATTATGGCGGTGTCCATAGACTGTGACGTCGACGATGGTGGTGGCCGAGACTGCAACGCCTTAAGAATGGTCTGGCGGGGGATCGCCGAGTCGATGGAGCAGGCGTTCTTGCGGTGCTTCCGGATGCGATGCTCGCCGAAAGAGGGCACGCGCGGGAGGACGGAGAGGTTCTCGATGGACGAGGACTTGGTGATAACGGTGGGGTCGTCGTTGCGGGAGGATTCGTCCGAGGTCAGACTGGCTGGATCTTGTGTTGCAGCGGGCGTACCGCCAATTTCTTGCGTTACTACCGATGCATTATACGGCGCGTCCTGGGGGCAGTGGACGCTGGTCTGCGGAGGCTGTGGAGACTCTGGGCGGGTGGGATTATTAAATGAGGCATC